AAACACATGACAATCGATATCGCTATAGCGTGCAGTCTCAGAGCAGAAGACGCATTTGGTGAAATTGTGAGTTAAGATCAAACGTCAATGGCAAGTCCCTATAATGTGACCTTGTGGAATATCTGGCTACCTCACAACGTATGTTATGCACCGCTTATTTTATGTTATGAATTTGTTATGCTAAGATGAAACATGTAAAAAAACATGAAACACATAAGATGAAACATGAAACAAACAAACACAACACAAACATAAGATGGCTTCTTCCTGCTCCCTGCAAACACACTTTTAGATGAGCATGCCAGTATTGCTGTTTGCCTTTTCAGATGCAGCGAATGCATCTATTTAGGCTTGTTTATTAATATTTAATGACAAAGTTTGAGATGTTGGCTTCAGATTTTAAATGGGATGGTCTGACTGTTTTTTACATACTAATATTTAACTTATATTATAATTTCTATGCAGCTTAAAGTACCCCCGGGGTTAAAAATATAGTGCATTTCTACAGTACGGTCATTTGCCAGTCAGCAAACCATGACAACCATAGAAAACGTGTGGTTAAAGCAGTCATGAGAGACTACTTCAAGAAATTTGGGGCAAATAATCAAGAATATGTAACAAAATAAGCCCATTGCATGCCTTGTGGCATCATACTTTGTCTTACGACAAAACTCCATGGATTAAAACAGAAAATGGCTAACTCTGATTACCAATCATGTGTTGGAAGCAGGTAAAGTAAGCAATTACTTGGTCCACAGGAGACTTACTGGCTTCTTCCTGCTCCCCACAACAAAAAGTCAGTACATTTTGCATGGTGTGCTGGCAGACAGAGTTATCCCACCCACCCCCCAAATATAAATATCGATTATGCTCACCAACCTACGAGATTCAAATGCGAAACAAGTAAGAGGTGTGCATGATAAACACCTCCAGTGGGCAGAATTTCGCCATCAAAGACTTCTGTATTAGCTGCGTCAGGTCTGTCCCAAAGCTCTGTATGGCAGCATTAATATATCCTCAGGTAGCCTGGTGAGATAGACGCTCGAAGGGCTTAGATTTATCATTCTTGAGCACCGTCATGAACAGAGAAAACGGTTAACCGAGGGTTTAAGAGGGCAAAAATGGCGGTAAAGTAAGTTCTGTGCTTCAAATTGCCTCCTTCATTCCCTTTGGATTGTTCACTCTTGGGTGCATATCAAACATGTGTGGACGGCTGGCGCATTAATCCAATTTATGTATGAAATACGTACAAGTTTGCAGTTGGAGCATCTTGCAGAGAAAATGGTCAACATTTTAAGCAACAGATGGTACCTCTAAAGGCAATCGAAAAGGAAAGAAGAATAAAGTGGTATTACACTCGTATGATACCATGAAATACAAAAGTAGTTAAATAAATATAAAGACTGATAATTTTCTTACAAAATTTTCTTATCAGTTGATTTGACGTAAAATATGTTAACATAATTGCTCCAATGGAGATATTCATCTGGTAAATTTAATTTAGAAAACATTTCTTGAACGTTTCACTCCTGCTTTTCAGGAGTGATGCAATTAAGTGGTCAAGTTCCCTCGGGAAAAAAAGAAATAGGTTGAGCAAGATTCTCTACCAGGCCTTGCTGGTGTTTGCGCCAGGCTCTGCTCGCGTGGTGCGGAGGTGAGACCAAAAAATAGGGGATGCGTGAAAACCTTGCATTTGGCACACAGCTGCCGATTGTGATGCATTTTGTAAACAAACCAAACGTAATGCGTGCAAGCGGTCGGAGTCGCTGGGGTTCTTGTGCTTGGAGGTACCCGGCGCCCTTGCCCTGTGCATGCATAGACATGATTGAGATGTAGGTGAGGCAGGACATAGCCATAGGTGTTCAGGTTCTGTGGAGCCTCGTTTATGCTTGGTGGTTTTAAGTGAGCTCGGTTTTGCATGACATCTGAAAACCTCAGAAAGGGAAACAGGGGTTTGGCATGTGCGATTAGACAATATCAGGCAGGAGTGAAAGATTCACAGAAAATGTGGGGGAAAGGAGTAAAAAAATTCCTCCTTATAGGGTGTTGCTTTACGCCCAAAGTTGGCAATTCTAGGACACTGTTCTGAAGACCTTTCGGTGCTGTTCGCAGTCCTTTCCCTATTAAGACCTAAACCTCTCTAGTTCTGAGCTACACGCCCGCCAAGATGTGCAGACAATTCCTTGCACAGTGTTTCAAGTTTCTCCAGACATTCATGACGCCATGATAACATCACATCAAATCCTGTCATTCCATAAGCGATGCGGTCATCGAGGCCAAGAAAATTATAATTGTCGAGGCATTCATATCTGGCGCTCGTGAGCGCGATTTCCAGATATGACGGCCGTCAATTGGCTCTCAACCAGTGTTGTGCAAGGTGCGATGACGTTATCAAAACATGACGCATTGAGGGATATATTTACTAAACAGAGAATTGTGCTGTCTAGAGAGATCTTTTCAGCTTAAAGAGTGTACCAATAGCCATAAGTGAGCTTGTCTCATCATATCTGATGCTTGTCCCAATATATCAAACGTGAAATATTCCCTTTAGAGGCAAGTGTAGCACAGCTGAAAGCTGAGACCTTGAACATTTCCTCTCATCGCATGACATCATCTCACGACACCCGTTTCTCGACGGGACGGCGGCCGAAACCGGCCTCTGGGCGACGAGGACCATCCCACGGCACCGAAGGACAGTGGACTGGCGGACTTGCCACCAGGCGTCGGTACCTCAGCGGTCGGCATCGACGACTCGGTAGCCGAGGCCGACCGCTGGGCCACGGGCGAGCGCCAGGTCCGGCGTTCCGGTCCTAAAGCCTCGGGTGCGCTTGCGCGACGGGGGTTCAAACTCTCGCACGTCGTGTTTGCTGCTTAAAGTGTCGTACATTGGCGATTTGACAGCTGTGACTACCTTGGGCCTCAGAGCCGTGTTTTAGTGTTGATAGTGAGCAAATCTAAATACGGCATTGCTCTGCGGTCAACGCTGCACGGCTACGCCGGGACCACGCACACTATCCGCGTGGCCGGCGGAGGACCGGCCGGTATTCGCCGAACCGCGCCACGTGCGCAGGGCCCGCTGCTGTGTCAGGAATTTGACGGTGGTGGCTGGCGCGGCGCACCGGTCGGCGACGTGTCGTTTTTACGTATGTGAAATATCACATCAGCTCGTTCTCTCCTCTCTCCTTGGCCCAAATGGTTCGTGATGAGTAGAACGAATGAGGCTTATTCGTCATGATCCCAATGGCAAGGTACACGAGGATATCACCTTATATCGTTAGGTAGCAAAACAAAATAACGAGCTCCGTGCCAAACGAGAAAACTGCGGCGAGTATACTCCGGCACTGGGGTACGTTTTTGCCCTACAACTACAGTCGGACTTCACCCAATGATTCCATCACCTCTGGCGCATGCACCGCGATGCACGCCTGGCTTAAAATGCCCCACATGAGGCGTACAACACATGCCAAAATGTCAAAGAGGCGACCCCCTGGTACTTACTGCAGCACACCGAGGGTTGGCATTGCCACCATACGAGCGCACAATGTCAAACAAGTTTTGTTGCTCTTATAATGATAGGAAGGCTTACAACAATCAAAGCACCTCGAACGCGCCTCGTATTTGTAACGGTAGTGAACAGGCGAACACGAGTCTTACGTACAGGCTAGTCAACCGGCGATTGGTTTATACTCTGCGCGGGCGCCGCGTGGTACCACTGGGGTTTACTTCACTGTCGGTCCACAAAACGGGCACCGAATAGGCAGACGAGACCTCTGCCGTCCGCCTACTGCTAGGCAAGCCATCAGACGGCCTTGCCGCCGGTCAACCTCTGTGACCCCCCTCCCCTCTCCGGCCGGTCCCACATAACTGCCCTGCGTCCGTGCCTGCCACTCCTTAACAGTGACAAATTCTAGCACACTTTTAAGTGGCGTACCTACCTACGCGCGCTCACACTGAATGGACTCGTTGAACATAGCGATGCATGAGATGTGCTGCTCCAAAAACGCATTCGATGTTAGTCCCGCCTCAGCGCGTGGACACGCTACGGGTTCGGATATGACCACGTGTGGTACTTGAGTTTTTGCAGTCAGGCGCCAGGCATAGCAGTTTTAGACGGGATGTCAACTTTACCCCCGGCTTCTCAAACGTCCGTTACAACAACAAAACGGTCGCTGAGGCGACTCCAGCGATTCACGCCGAGCTCTGGCTGAAGCCGTTCGGAGTTGAGACTGAATGACATCTGTGCGAGTGAGGCAAAGGTCGGCACGGGGACGCCTTTGCACGCTGTCAGATAACTGCCAAGAATATGCTTAAACATTTACAAAGCATGAAAGAGAGGCATGCATTTTTAAAAAGTGGATTGATGCACACCTCATTGGAAACTAGCTGAATCAGCAACATTTTCTGCAGCTGCCGTTCTGGCCGTTCTAACGGATTACACTAATCACCAGCTATGTGCCGCACTACGCGGCTGTTCAGTATTAATACGTAGCGCCTGCATTATTGAATTGGCTTAGATTGTGGCATGTTAAATGCGGGCATCGCAACAATCGCCGTACGCTTAATTAATGCCGTCGATCACTATCCGTACTTCCTGAGTTTTCGGCTGGCATAAATGCCTCATTTAATTGGAGCACATCAAACAATACAGCAAACGTCGCATTACAATGCAGGGGTTTTCCTTTTATGACACAATACGGATAACACGATGTTCTTACGACACAACACGGAAAAGGCCACGCTCTAGACCCCATCTCTCTGCGCCCGATGTTGTCTGTCGCACCAGGTTCTCCCCAGCCGAACGCCACGGAGCCAGCAACATCTGCACTGTTCGGCGGCGATCAGCGCCGGCGCGCCGATCAGCTCTGGACGAGTGACTCTGTCAGCCCTGTGAGAACACATCAACATCTGCCCTGTTCGGCGGCGATCAGCGCCGGCGCGCCGATCAGCTCTGGACGAGGGACTCTGTCAGCCCTGTGTGAACACATCGCCCGGGGCCTTACCTCAGGTATGTCGGCGGCCATTCCCCGTCCGTGTCGCGCGCTTTGTCGTCAAACCAAGGACAGTGCGTCTGACCTACGCTCACGCCGGCTCGTCTCGCGCGCCTCGTTCGGGTCGTTCGCAGCTGGCTCTCGCCGCCGCTGACTGTCGCCGCTGACTGCCGCCGACCGCTCGCGCCGGGCTCGGACCCGCACCACGCGACAAGGACCATCCGCGCCGTACTGCCTCACTGTGCGGCGCGGCCGACCAGATGATGTAACGCGTCGAATGCGGCACACGAAACCGCTCGGGGCGCCAGCCGTCACCTCATGTGGCGCCGCCGGGCGGCCGGCGCGGTCCAGGTCTGCCCGCTGCCGGTGCGCTGCCTGTGCTCTATCAGCTCGGTGAAGAGCTGGGAGGCTTCAGGGGTAGCGGCGTGGGCTGCGACTCCAGAAACAAAACATAAAACGCGCATGAGTAAGCCATTTTGGTCAGGCTGTGCATTCTCGCCATGGAACGATATTCACGAATTTCACGCAAGAAAAAAAACTAGATCGACTTGATCTCGCCTGCGTGGCTGCTTTCGTTTGCTCGTTTTGTTTGTTTGTCCACTGCGTTTGAACCAGTAAGAGCAAGGTGGTTTAACAAAATATGCGGTGCGTTCAAAACAAGTCATGCGGAGTGTCTCCGTCAGGGACGGGTCCAGTATTTCGTCAAGGGGGGGCGGGGGGGGGGGGGGGCACGCAACATTGCGGGGCCCGCTGGAGTTTGGGGCTCCCGCCAAAGAAATATTCTTGCATTTCGGTCATAACATTTTAAGACAAGTCGTACGTAACACACACACACACACACACACACACACACACACACACACACACACACACACACACACACACACACACACACACACACACACACACACACACACACACACACACATATATATATATATATATATATATATATATATATATATATGTATGTATACATACAATTCATACGTACAATTCAATTCAAGGGCATGATACACCAGTTATCATAACTGTCACGCACTCAATAGCCAGTGGGAATGACACATACGACGCCGGCGGCATGTACAATTACGTTCGGCAATCGCGCGTAAAAATTCATCGGCTCATATTCAACTGCTGCTCTAAAGCGAAGGCACCAAGGCCAATAGGCACGGAATCTGAGCGATCATGGGTGCCGCAGGGAGCCAACAAAGTGGTTCCCGTCAACAAGAATAGGGTCCTCAGAGTAAGCAAAAAAGAACTAACGTGGTTGGCCCCTAAACGATCGGTAGTGCCCCGGCAGGCTGACAAATGCGGTCCCGGCCATAGCACAGGGCCCTCCGAGCAAACGGAAATTATCCAAGACCATGAATGCGATCCCTGTGCGAACCCCTGTGCCATCACGAGTGCACGGGCACGTTAACAACAGCAGCCTCGGTAGGAGTGAAGAGTCCTCCGCAAATGAGACCAAAGGGAGAGAGTCCTCGATCAAAGTAGAGGGCCCCTGAGCAGCGAGCTTCTCCGTGCGTTACCTTATAAGAGCCCTGCCAACAGCACAATGCCCTCCAAGCAAGTGAAAAGAACCCGATACTTATATGAAGGGCCCCTTAGGAACTGAGCGTACCCTGGCATATGGGACCCCGGAAAAAGTGTGAAGAGCCTGTCGGGCGAATGGGAAAAATCCGTGGAAGAAAACCTGATCGATCCCCAACAGCACATGGGGCCCTGCGAGTGAACGCAAGGAAATCAAGGGTAACGTGGATAGCTCCTTAGCGATCAGACTGACCCGGCAAGTAGACATAAAGGGCCAGGTAACCAATAGCGTAATGCCTCTAGACAACGTAATGAGTCCCGATATTTCTCCTAAGCAACACTTTCTCAAATAGCGAAAAATGAATTTCGTCTCCTTATGAAGTCTTTACTTTTGCTCACAATGGTTCTTGGTCGTCTGTAGGCCAAATGCATCTAATTTTGTTGTGTTTTTGTTGTAAGGAAACTGCGTTCGTCCGGCCGGTTATGGGCCTCTTCGGAGCCTTTAGGTCCCCTTGGCATGGTCCATGGTCCATGGTCCCTTGCCTTCCCTCCCCCCCCCCCCCCTCTGCATCCACCACCGCCCCGAGCAGCTGAATAGATGGGGCCCTCCAAGCATACAGGGCCATCCATTCAAGTAAGGAATGCATACGACGCAAGGTGTAGGGCTCCGAACGATCGAGCGCGCCCAGGCAAGTTATCATGTAGGGCCCCCGTTAAGAGCGTGGGGCCTTCCATTCGAATAGGAAGTACCCAAAACCCAATATAAAGGTCCCCCGAATGACCGAGTGTGCTCGAGCAGTTTAACAAATAGGGCTCCCAACAAGAGCGTAAGGTCCTCCATGCGAATGGGAAGCACCGAAGACCCCTTGTAAATGGACCCAGAATGATGGAATGTACCCGAGCAGCTTATCAGAACGGGCCCGACAAGAACGCAGGGCCCTCCATTAAAATAAGAAGTGGTTAAAACCCAGTGCGGAGGGTCGCTGAAAGATGGAGTATACCCGAGCAGATTATCAAGTGGCCCAGACAGGAGTGTAGGACCATAAATTCAAACACCAAAACCCAATATAGGGCCATGAATATAGGGCCAAGACCCAATAGATAGGGCCATGAACAATTCAGTGTGGCCGAAACGACGAACAGATAGGGTCCCCGACAAGTGCGTAGGGCCCTCCATTCAAAAAGGAAGTACCCAAGACACGACGGAGAGGGCCCCGAATAATCGAGTGCGCCAGAGCAGGCTAACAGATAGTGCCATGCAAAAGGCGGAGGGCCCTCCATTCAAAACCGAAGTGCCCAAAACCAGATGTAGAGGTCTCCCGTGATAGAATGGGCTCAAGCATCTTATCAGAAGGGGCCCCGACAGGAGCGCTATAACCTCCATTCAAACAACAAGTACCCAAAGTACCCAAGGGCCGGTGCAGAGTGCCCCTGGAAGATGGAGTGTACCTGAACAGGTTGTCAGATAACTCCGATGGAAGCAGAGGGCCCTAAATCCAAACACCAAGAACCAATGTGCAGGGCCCCCGAGCAATCCAGTGTGGCCGAGGCGGCGAACAGAGGGGCCCCCGACAAGTGCGTAGGGCCCCATTCGAATAGCACGAGCCCAAGGCCCAGTGTAGAGGGCCCCTGAGCGATCGAATGTGCCCAAGCAAGTTATCAGATAGGCCCCCCACAAGAGCGTAGGGCCCCTATTCAGAAAAGAAGTACCCAAGACCCGTGCAGAGTGTCCCGAACGACTGGGTGTGCCCAATCAGGCCATCGGATGGGCCCCCAGCAATAGTAGGGTTCTAAGCAAGAGACAGAGAATTGGAAACGCCCTTGACCAATGTGGAGGGCCTATGAGCATATCGCAAGTGTGTCGGTAGGTCACGCACCCAGGTGGCACCCTTCGCTCGGGTGAGGGGTCAATCTGACCCCCCCTGAGATCTTGGGAACTAAGAAAGCTAGAAACACCAAATTTACAGGGTGCATTGACCTGTACGTGAACTTACTTAGGTTAAAGTTTCAGATACCTAGGTTATGACCTTTGGGTCAAAAAAGGTAAAAAAGATCAAGTTCCAGGTTGGTCTCCACAGTGCCCCAGAACCTAAATAACCATTTCTAAGCAAAGGGTCACATGCTTATTTAAGGTCAGTGATCTTGTTTGACCTTTTAAAGGTCAAGGTGGCTAAAATCATAAAAGATTGCTTTGAGTTTCGCACTTGACTAAACGAAAAAGATTACGCTAGGCAGTATGTTCCTAAAATAAAGCGTTTACCTCTTTTTATTTTAGTCATTTTAGGTCAATGACCTATTCTGACGTCTAAGAAGTTCATGGATGATATGTAATGCGGTTCCTGCTATCAATAAACTCGAAATGAGCACCAGAAACTATCCCATACAGCAAGCCCTACGTGTAACAAAGCAGGTTGGTTTTGACTTTGGTGTGACCTTCATACGTGACCTTAGATCAATTTAATTCGCTCATTTAACTGTTGTGTTGCTTAAAAAAGCACCTCAGAGACGTATGGCTTTGTCTAGCACTTCGTTGTCGGATCACATTAAATAATTTCCTAAAATTGCCTGCGCTGAAACCATGGTCTGACTTTGACCTGCCATAGGTCAGCGACCTTACAACGTACATCTAAATGTTTGATGCCAAACGATCTGCTATTCAATTATCTACAGCTATGCAAAATTTGGCGCGGCTGCACCGCGCCGTTTGGAAACCATTCTGGAAAAAACCTTCGGGGGGGGGGTCAATTTGCACCCCCCCCGAGCGTGTGTTAACCGAGACGTACGTAGAAAGCCTCTAAGCAACCGAGAATACCTCGTTAAAATATGGTTAAGGTTAAGACAGGTTAAGATATGGACCCCGGCTACCACTCACAGAACCTTTCTGGCGAATGGAAAGAATCCGTGGGCGGGCCCATGATTGACAAGAGTGCCCCGGCACGCTAACAGAAAGGGTCCCAACAGCAGCGCAGGACTCTCCGAGCAAATGCAAAAAAAAATGAAGGGCAACGTGAAATGCTCCTTAACGATAGTAATGATTCCGCAATTGGGCATATGGGTCTTCCGGAAACAGCATGGGGCTCCTAGACAGTGTAATGAGGCTTAAAATTTCCAGTTCACAACTTTTCTAATCATCGCATTTTTTCTTGCCCTTTATTCTCGCTTATAACTGTTCTTGGTCGCCTGGAGGTCCAGATATACCCAATTTTGTTGCGTTTTTGTGTTAAAAAAACACCTGTTCGGCTGGCCGTAGGTTCACTCGGAGGCAATGGACCCCTTCGGCGCCCAAGGGAGGCCATGGCTCCGTGCGCCCCCCCCCCCCCCCCCTCTGGATCCGCCCTTGGTCTCTGTCTGATTTACACATGAATCAGACGTGTGAGTGTTTTCATTTACTTAGCGGAGGTCCCTGGAAGCTATGGGCACCCATCCTAATGTGATAGGGGAGCAGGAGTAGAACATTCAGTTCTTCTTTGGGGGGGGGGAGGGGGACGGGGACCAACCCATGAACCTTACCCGTATTATTTTCCAGACCCATTTCTTTACTGATTTCGTCCACATTAATCTGTGGTCATAATCTGAACTTGATATGCGTGTGCAAAACGACTTTAGGCTCCTGGTTTTTCGTTGTCATTAGTTAAAGGTTATTATTTTGAGTTAACGGGCTTCAGTATACGTGGAGTTGCTGATTAAATGGCTTTG